CATCCGAAGCAGTCCTCGACCAGTGTGAGCACGGCTTAGCAACTGTTTAGCAACAGCTTAGCGCTACTTAGCAAGAACCAAAACATCAGTGTATATCAATGTTATTCTCATCCTAAACCCAAAACACAGCACTATACCAGCTACTAAGAAGAAAATTAACTTTATCCCAGCTTTTATCAGAGAAATTCTAAATTCTAATGAATGTTATTGTAAGTCTCTGCTCAAACACCTGGATTTTTGCTGCTCTTTATTGGTCCAGCCCCTCAGAACAAGAAGTAGGATAGGTCTGGCTCTTTTTTATAGTAAGGTTATGGTAAACAGGAAGGACAGGAGAGAATAGTTTGATAGTAACAAGCAGGATATTCCCCACTTAAATCCTTAGTACGTCTTCTGCTGGCATCAGTAGAGTATGGTAGCAAGCCATGTGACAGCAGAGCATCAAACTTTTATTACTATTTTATGACCCAAATCTCATAACTTTACATTAAATTACAAATTGGACTTGTGTGCAGCATCCATTTCTATTGCTTTTCATACGATTTGATTTTGAAATTTGCAGAAACTATTCTAAAGTATTCTATTCCTTCCTTCCATCCCTTTTTCCTCCCTTCTCCTTTTCCCTCACACCCTTTCTTTGAACAGCAAACCCTTGTCCTGTGCCTTTCATAATCCCAGAGAATGCCCTTCTCTCCGAGGTGGATTTTTATGTTGGTCAGAACGTATCCATCAGGTGCAGGGAAGGCTACCAGCTGAAAGGGCAGTCTGTGATCACCTGTAATGCTGATGAGACCTGGACTCCAGCAACAGCTAAGTGTGAAAGTAAGTACATGAGATACAGTTCCACAAGGGCTTGGTACTTTCCAGAGGGCTGGTGACCACAGCTGTATCACATAGAAGCATGACAGCACAGATGTGTCAGCAGAGGTCTTCACCTAGATGCAGTTATTCTGGAAGAAGAGAGCTTTCATCTACTATTTTCATTTGGAGAGGTGGGTTGCTCCAAGAGATCCAGGCACATAAAGATGACCTAAGCATCTCTACAGAAGAACTATTTCTTCTTTCTTTCTAACAGAGTTGTTTCTTTAAAAGGATCCAGAATATCTCTATGTGGGTTGATGCCCCAAGAGCATTCGTCCTACTGTCTACTAGGCCCTACTGTGATTTTCTTCTCAATTTACCTTTTGCAAGCCCTGGAGCTGGGATTGGTTGTTGAATACCCTAAATATCCTGAGAATGATTCCTGTGAGATTATGGGTGATGAGACAAGGGTTGTAGGGAGAGGTGCTGCGTTTTATTGTATTTATTGACACTGACAGAAGGGATAGTGTCCTTTTGCGGGCGTGTCTTAAAGCTTTTTGGCTTCTTTCAAGCAATATTGCTTAGTTCAGACAATGACATCACCTCACTCTACAAACCCAGTCTCATGTATATCCTGGGACCATCTGAAAGTTTCTGGTCTGTATGGTGGATGTAGCCGTCATTCCATTACCTAAAACTGCTGTTCCTGGTCATCTCCCTGCTCACTGGGTGTACGTACAGGTTCTCCCTGTGAGTGTCTGCACCATGAAGAAGTCCTACTTACTGATTTCCCATCAGAGGTGTCTCTCTGGCACCTCCCAGGTCCTTTGTGCCAAGCGCTGTGCCCAGGGTTAGAAACTATCATGTAGGCATTGCAGCTCACCAGCCTCTGGGTGATTTCTTTTGTTTAGAGATATCTTGCGGCCCCCCAGCTCACATGGAGAATGCTCTGATTCGTGGTAGCTTCTATCAGTATGGAGACATGATCACCTATTCATGCTACAGTGGGTACATGCTGGAGGGGCCCCTGCGGAGCATTTGCTTAGAAAATGGAACATGGACAACACCACCTACCTGCAAAGGTAAGTCTTTTATGAACAGAAGCATATCTTAACTTGCCATAAGCATGGAAGTGTCATCCTAGCTGCAATAAAAACAAAAGTGAAATTTTTGCTAGTTTCAGTGCAGTCATGGTTTCACCCAGGGCATTTAAGTGCAGGGTGTTGCTTTATTTCCAAATGAAAGAGAGGGTGTCCACAATTTTTCTCTTTAGTCCTTGCTAATCTTACAGGTTCTTTTGCTACAAAGTTGTATCCCACACCTAAGATCCTCTCTCCTCACATCTTTTGTGAGAAAGAGACAGAACCAGTCATCTTTCTGACGTGCTGAGCTGTTTCAGATAAGCACTGCCTGTCAGTTTTCACAGTGAAAGATCAAGCACTGCAGAAAATGAAAGTAAGAAAGAGATCCAATGGGTGCTTAGTTTCTCACTGTGCCTAGGGCTTGGAAGCTGCTGAAAATTGTTTTGCAATAAAATACTTAAGAATAGGTTGATACAGCTCACTAAATAATACACACTAAGTACTACAGAAAATTCATGGTTTTAACAAAATACCAAAGACAAAGTCTAGCCTTTCCACCCTTGGCATACCAGCAGGAAAATGTCACTTTTTGGTTTGTTGAGCTAAAACTTCACATGTTTAAATTACAGAATTTACTCTTCCACACATGATTCAAATAAATAAAAAGCTTTTAACAGAAAATGGGGGAAACCAACACAAAACATAGAAGAGATAATAAACTAAACAGTTAAAAACAGATACAAGCACCTTCAAACAATAACTTAAAACCAAGGATGAGGCATAGCAAAAGGGTGCCAGGGTCACAGGGCTTTGATGGAAGAGACCTTGCCATCTGCCATTTCCGTATCAGAAGCTTGACTAGCCTTCTGCTGCCAGGTAGCTATAAAGCAGTGAGTTAGCTGCACCCTGAAGTCATCTCCGATGGAGTAACAGCAACCATACTAGAAACAGAACCTCAGGTATTTTGTTTAGAAATGTGAGTATTAAAAGCAAAAATCCTTAGGGCACATCAGTGGCCAGTCACAAGCAGCCCCATTCCCTAAGTTCAAGAACTCCCACAGAAGAGGAAAGGTGCCAGAATGCTCATCTGGGAACATTGGAGCCATCCTCAATGTTGTCAGGTCTCCCTCTCCTCCTGGAAGTCTCAGGTCCCTGTGTCGAAAATAGAAGCAACAATACTTTCTCCCTCCTTGGTGATTTTCTGTTTAGGTCAGAAGCCCTTTGGAAATGGAGGATTCTATACTGTGCTAAGCCTGACTAATCAGGGTACCCTCATCAGTTTTTTTTTTATGAATTTTGACAGCAAAATATTATGAATGTTAAGACCTAGGCAAGCTAAGTTGCCCTACTCTATGAAAGCAGGTACTCTGTTAAAATTCTGTATCTGATAGTTATAATTGCCTTGCCTAAAAATCACGTATCAGTAGATCATCTTGAAGAGACCCAGAGCCAAAGAAGTGGGCTTGTAGCTCCTGAACATTTCAGGAATAGAGAAGCTGCTCCTGAAAAACAGGTTTCTCCTGGTTATGTGACCATGGCTTGCCATTGCCATGAAGAATTGCCTGTCGAGTAGCCAAGTGAGAAGATTTACAGTAAAAGCACCTGAGTTACTTCAGATGTCAAGAGTTATCCAAAAGTTGTGTTAGAAATTCACGCTCCCAAAGCACCGAGCCCTCTCTGAAAAGTTTGCCAAGTATCTTGTCATTTCTTTCTAAACTGTGGTGGCTACAGAATTCAAGGGATCTCTGCATAATAACTACTCTACCTAAGCTAGAATTCATTAGCAAAATTATTTGGATATTATCTCTTCAGGTTGTAACACTTCGGATTCTTCAACTGCCCCTTTAATATCACCAGCTTTATTTTTCATTCTTATTTATTTACTAGTTACACAGAACTGTATGTCAAGGGCTGTAGTTTTTTGCTAAGAGAGGTTCTTGCCACTGCTTCTAGCAGCCCGGAAGGGCTGATCTGCAAAGCACTGTCAAACATGTGTCCTGTTTGGAGCACCATGGTGTCTACTGGGTCTGTTCAGAAGAATAAGCGTTAGGGAAAATTATTTCAAAAAACTAAGCGATGAGGTGGACAGATGATCAGGGAGTAGTGCAGGAAAACAAAGCAGAATAACCTGCCTTTTGGTATATTAAGGGAGAGGAATAACAATAGTCCCCCCTCTTTTCACCTAAAAGGGGAACTAAAAAGGACCAAAGATGTTTGAGAGGACCGACCTGTGTTTTCATGACACATGTCAAAATAATCTTTTAAAACTGCTTTATAATTCATTTGAGGGATTTGCCTAACAAAAGGCCTACAGGAGCCAAGCCTTTGTGGTCTACATCAGAAGCAACATGAAAGCACTCCTTGTAATGACTCATGCTGCATTTCTTGGTTTTGGCTCTGTGAGTTGATTATTAATGTGTCCTGAGCCTGCTTGAAACATTCTGGTCCAGTTGAACAGGTTAGTTAACATAAATATTATAATTAAAAAGCAGACTTCGTTAGCTTCTTTGGAAGAGCTCTCACCACAGCTGCACTTGCCTGAATCACTGCTGGTTAGAGGTTGCAGGCCAGATTCTGATCTGAGTTTCAGGGGTGAGAAGTATTAGCCTGGATCTGCTGATTGTAAACACCTGCAGGACTGAGCAGGCTGCACAGATGCACATAGCTTGTCTGACTCCAATTTTTTCTCTCCGAAATACTCTAAAATCTGTGTTGTCTATTTGCCCTCTGCCCACATATTGCTGACTGGGAGCGGTCAGTGTGGAGCTACTGACCAAAAAGTTCATACCCCATCAGCAAACAAGCATTATGAGAGGGCAGCTGAGGCATGGAGGAAATTACTCACTTGCAATCACAGGAAAGCTTTTTGGCAAAGCTGAGAGCAGATACCAGAATTTATTTTTCCCCTTCTTACCCATATTTGTCTTGGAGCAATATAAATGCTTTTGTGTCCTGTGGAGATAACTTTCAGGGATGGTTTTACAAGGTGATCTCAAAGATTAAGACTGATCCTGTGGATGTGAGATCTGTTACCACTAACTGAAGTCACAGTTAATGGTTCCCATTCTCTCCCCAGCACATCAGGACTGCATTTGCCCTGCTTGCTTTTACAGTAGCAAAAAAAGAGAATGTGATCCCAGCTTAACTTCCCATCCCAAGCCTTCCTCTAGTCTTGTCTGTCGAGTGAAGAATAATCCCCACAGCTACAGACACAGAGTCTCTGCCTGCCTAAATTGGTGTGTAACAAGTGCACACCTAGGGATGATACTGTCTTACTCATTCAGTTTCACAGCCAAGGCCTGGGCATAAGTCCAGGAAAAGCCTATCTCTGCCTGAGATCCTGGATTGCTGAGCGGGATGGAGTTGCCATCCAAAGCGTTTTTCTGTAACTCATTAAATATCTGCATCTTCTTCATTGACAGGGAGAGAGAAAATACATTTCAGAGACGATTTTTCATAGGCTTTGAATTTAACGTGGGATATCATTTATACACAAACTTTTTACCTCCCATCCCATTATACATTAATGGGGTATCGTTTAAGTGGTGTGGATCACACAAAGCTTTAAATGGTTTTTGATTCAACTTTCATAATTTTTCATTGCACAAAGGAAATCTGGTTGGCACATTATTGTGCTTTAGCCAACACCTAGAGACAAGCTGTCTGCATAGTCATAGATATCTTTACAACAAAAATAGTTTAAAATACCTGTTAAAATATTGCAACTTCTATGAACCTGTCAGGGCCTAAGGTCTCTCCCCATTCTCATTATCAGCTGACATTTGCTGGGAAGGCTCTTGAGACTGAAAAATAAAATGGCAAAAGCTTTGGCCTCATTTCAACAGACTCCAAGCTGTAGCTTGCAGCTTGGCATGGCTTAGCTGCAAGAGTGACTCAAGTTCAGCTCTATCAGGGGAAGATTTGCATTCTTTCCAATGTGGAGCTCAGGTCTGAACAGGGTTTCAGTGTTCTAAACCACTGTTTGTATTTAATACTAACATTGAACAAGATCTGAAACACTCAAAGCCTAAACTCATATTTTGCTCACCTAGTAACTAATTAAAGATAGGATGCAATTAAGAGTTCAGACTGAGTTTCCTGAGGTTACTCTGTGTTCATAACTACCACTAATTAGAAGTTAGTCTGATTACTTATTTGTTCTGTAGTATCGTCTCGAAGCCACAATTTTTGATCTTCTGTGTGTAGTATGTACACCAACATGACAAGGATTGTACTTCCTCCAATGATCTTTAAGTCTTAACATGTTTGTACTTAGCTTGCCACCTGATTTCATAAAGTAGTCCTGGTTTCCATGGATGTATTAGCCAAGATACAATGCAATGTCATAGAAAGGATGATGAAGTCCAAAGCCTGTCTATTCCAGGCAAAATATTGGGCTAGCATGATAGAGTCCACTTCAAATTCCTCATTTTTATGATCAGGTGCTTATTAACAGGTGTGCGAGCCAAGGAGCAGCAGTCAGGATGAATGCTAAGTGAGGTTTATAATCACACTTTGGGTTCCACAGGTAAACACTTCACTGTGCCACTGCTGCACCTTTGTTGGTTGCTTCTCATTATACTGGATGATAGTGCAATAAAAATTGCTTGTTTTACCACAGTGTTTAGTCTTACTTTCAACAAACTCTATATTATGCCAGATGGCATTATCTTGGTGTTTCATACCAAGGTTAGAAGAAAGCTTGCTTTTATTTTAGAGTTAATTTAGTGGAGAAAAAAGAAAAGGTAATGCTTTTTGTTTGGAGTAGGGTGTTTTTTTGTTGTTTTACAAAAATGAGTGGGGAAAATCAAATAAAGCCTAGTGTCAGCCTTAAAACCTTGCCCAAATTATTTACCCAACTACACTAAAACCTTCTAAGTTTTCAATCTTGCCATGGGCAATTTTTGATTGTCTTGACAGTTTCCACACTCTTGTTCACAGTACCTAGTCAGACACACAGAGCCAGAAAACAATGTAGCCCTTGAAATCAAAGCCAAGTTATGTTTCTGAACTTCACTACATTTGTTTGTTCTACTCTAAACTTTACAGATGCAAAGATCTGTGCAAGATGCTGAATTACTAAGCTTCTAATTAACCATCTTGAGTTTGTCATGAAATTGTATTGTTTTCAGCTGTCTGTCGATTCCCGTGTCAGAATGGTGGCGTCTGTGAGCGACCAAATGCCTGCTCATGTCCAGATGGCTGGATGGGTCGTCTCTGTGAAGAGCGTATGTATATCATTCCTAAGTGTAATTCTAAGGATGTTGTAGGTAAGACAAGTGAATTTACTGCAGTGAACCGGCTGGGAAAATTAAAGGCATAAGAGCCAAAACCATAAAAATCATTACTTTATTCTGCTTGACAAGTTAGAGAGAACAGACGGGACCAACTGATTGCTTGTTTCTAGACAAATGCCCATCCTCTGACATCTCCAAACCAAAACAAGAACTTCGATGCAATTTTGTTTGTGGGTGCTCTTTCACTATGATTGAAGAACAGCCAGCTTCAGTTCTCCAAAATCTGTTTCTAATAGCAATACATGATAGTTTTGGGGAAAGAACAGGGGTTAGAACAGAAGACATGAGTGTTCTGCTGGTGGCTGCATTTGTTTCTTAGCTTACTTTTTTATCAGTCTGTGATTACAAACCTGATCTGCTGGAGGGTAGGAAGGCCCTACAGAGGGACCTGGACAGGCTGGATCGATGGGCTGGGGCCAACTGTATGAGGTTCAACAAGGCCAAGTGCCAGGTCCTGCACTAGTGTTGGTTGACAGCCACCTGAACATGAGCCAGCAGTGTGCCCAGGTGGCCAAGAAGGCCAATGGCATCCTGGCTTGTATCAGAAATAGTGTGGCCAGCAGGACTAGGGAAGTGATGGTCCCCCTGTACTTGGCATTGGTGAGGCCGCACCTCAAGTACTGTGTTCAGTTTTGGGCCCCTCACTCCAAGAAGGACTCTGAGGTGCTGGAGTGTGTCCAGAGAAGGGCAATGAAGTTGGTGAAGGGTCTAGACCACAAGTCTTATGAGGAGCAGCTGAGGGAACTGGGGTTGTTTAGCCTGGAGAAGAGGAGGCTGAGGGGAGACCTTATCTCTCTCTACAACTACCTGAAAGGAGGCTGTAGCGAGGTGGGGGTCGGTCTCTTCTCCCTAGTAACAAGTGATATAACGAGAGGAAATGGCCTCAAGCTGCGCCAGCGGAGGTTTAGATTGGACACTTGGAAAAACTTCTTCACCGAAAGGGCAGTCAGGCACTGGAACAGGCTGCCCAGGGAAGTGGTTGAGTGCCCATGCCTGGAGGTATTTAAAAGAGGTGCAGATGTGGTGCTTAGGGACATGGTTTAGTGGTGGACTTGGCAGTGCCAGGTTAACGGTTGGACTCAGTGATCTTAAGGGTCTTTTCCAACCTAAACAATTCTATGATTCTATGTTCAAATAATATAATTGTGTCTCCTTTTCCGTGCTGTCCTTCCTGACCTGTGTACCTGTACCCCACAAATTCTGGGCTGGCTTTTCCTGGCCTGGATGTCTGAATAGTTAGAGAACTGGATCTGTTCCGGTTGAAAAGAGCCGAATCTGACCCTTGGGTCTGTCAGAGATTCCCTGGGATGAGGGGATTGGGGATGCCAGTTTGTGCCGTTTCCCGTTTTCTTCATGATGATCTTAGCACAAGGGATTTGGGAGGGCTAACCTTTTCATACTGGTGTAGCTGCTGTACAAGAAGCCTTATTATTGTACACATAGTTAGGCATGGGTCTATGTGGGTAGAAAAAGAAAGTACCCTTACTGTATTTAATACTCAGTATGGCCCTTGATGTAAAGCTTTAGCATGTCCAAGAACATCTGCAGCTGAGGTGGTGTCACTGTGCCTGGCTCTGAGTATACATGGAGACCTACAAAAAGATGTGGCTCCTCCTCCTGTAGTTCATGGAGAGGAATGTGGTTCAAGCATTTTGCTAGGTAGATGTATCACATCTTAAAATGGTCATCTGAATCTACCTCTGCAGCTTTCAAGTCTTCTCTGTGGTGGTGTCAGTTTCACATGGCACAAATTAGCTGTAGATACAAAATAAGAAGAGGTTCAGCAAGTTTTGTCCTTCTGCATTTACAGAAACTCCAGCTGTATGGTGCATTCACACAGCTCCTCTTTTGCTGTCCCTATGTCTGTCAGTAAAACGCAAACTCAGTCCTGTGTTTTTCAGTTTCAGCAGAAGAGAACTGAGCCCTGTGTCTGGCAGAATTGGGTTTGGCCTGCCAGAATTTATTTCCTTACCTTATCATTAGTAATGATATTTAATGCATTCTTCAGGACCAGAGGACAAATTGTATGCCCCCAGTCATTTTGATTTGTCATCCCAATTCAGACCCTGTTTTCCTGTATGAGGAAAATGAACAGGCAGCTGACCAGCCAGATCACACTTCATGCAGATACAGGCACTAGCTCGCTCTCTTCGGCATAGATAGTGAGGAGAGGGGAAAAAGATTCCCACAATTGGTTAGTGCCACCTCAATTTTGCAGCATTGCTTGTCAAGCAAGGTGCACCAGTGAACAGAAAAGATAGATTTAGTCTTTGGAGTTGAGGACTTGTTCTGGAAGTCAAAGGGATTTTTGAGTGCTAGAATTGAGCACTGATCTGTCAGGATCAGGCCACAGGTGAGGCCACAGAGCTCTTGACAGGATGCAGTCACCTTGTAGTTCACAGCACATTTCACAGATAACAAGATAGATTCATCTTCCTGAGAGACGCTTGACCACTCTAAAAAACATGCAGAGCACTACTATTTTAATGATACAGAAAAGTAATTCTTGGTGATATGGGTTCATGCTGTGAGCTCTGTGGAAGTTCACCATTCTTTTCTTATCCAGGCTGACTGCATCTGCTCAGCTTGACCTCTGCTGTGCAGTGGAAGAAGCTCTGCATCAGTCCTCTGCAGCCCCCATCCACCCTCCCAGTATAAAACTCCACTGGAAGTGCCACTCAAGGGTCCAAATTTGAGACTCAGCTCAACTCTTGCTCTGATTAGAGCATGTTCACACAAGTACTTCATTCAGTTAGGGTAGTGCAGATGGTAGTTTTGTGAAGGTACTTAAGTCATGAACAGTGTGCACATGGGACAGTTTTGCAGATCTGCTCACAGGAGCGGTATAGCTTGATTGGTGCTCAGTCCAGAGGCCATCAGCTGGTTGGTATCTCCTTTTTTTCTTCCCCAAAGCTTCCAGCCACAGTCAGCCTGTTGCACCCAAAATGCTTTGTATTAAAGCTGTCTTTCCATGGAGGCCTTGTAGCGTCACCTGTCTCAGCATGTTTTCACTGGCCCGGATCAAGTGTTTTTCTATGGACAGTGCGTAGATTATCTTCGTTTGGATGTTACATGTGGGACCCCAGAGAAACCACAAACAACCCAAGTTGTTTGTAATTAAAGCATGAACTGATTTTGTTACCAACCGTCACAGAAGTGGGCAATGTCTGTGGATATTGAGAAACAAGCAAACAGCCCTGCTTATTTCCAGTGACCACAGAGCCTACAGGCCTCTGAAGGACTCTAGCAATTGCTCCAGTCTGTCCATTTGTTTGTCATCATTCCTTCTCATTTCTGGCTGCCATGCCAGTCATATTTGCTGCTCATGCCTTGTGGGTAGATCCTACTCAACTCTGCTGATACTGCATGCAAACACTTCAAGGGGTAGTAGAGTTTCTAATTAAACATAAGTTCTTTTCTTGCATGCTTTATTCTTTGCTTTCATGTGAGATAATTCTTTTCACTGGTTCTCTTCTCCTCTCCTTAGCCATATGCATTCTGCCGTGTCTCAATGGAGGTCGCTGTGTGGCCCCTTACCACTGTGACTGCCCTCCTGGATGGACTGGATCACGCTGCCATATGGGTAAAACTCCTTTCACCTGCATTTTTTTCTCACTTTTTGCGACTCTAGTATCCATACCTAGCACAGTTCACTAAGGACTCTGTAGAACTACTAAGCTGCTCACAGGAAACCCCGGGCCTGCAATAATATTTCTGGAGGATTTGCTGTCCTCAGCTGCAAACTATCACAGTAGTCCCTGATGAGTCTTTAAAATCCTCAGAAATGTTTGCTCCTAGAAAGGATAGACAGCATTCACAAGCGTGCTCTCTGCAAAAAGCAGTGCAGAGGAGAGAGGATTTCCAAACAGAAGAATAAAACTAGTCTGTCCATTCCAAGAAGAGTTAGAATTTCATTTTGATCTTCAGCACATGCAGGTCACCATTAAACTCACAAACAGGCTGCAGGTACTATGGAGGTTTTTCACCACATAGCTGTCTGGTTTGGGGGATTCCCACTTACTGCCCAAGTTCTGAGATAGGCAAGAGGGCAGAGCAAAGCAAGGATTATTTTAAGGATTGTTGAGTTTAATGGGTACATGGTACCTTACACCGTACATGGTACATGAGTACCTTACATTAGGTATCATCTAAGTTCTCTGAACAAATTTAACACGCGCTGCATTTTAATAGAACTCTTACTTGTACCTAACCAAGGCTGAAGGGCATGTAGCACACCAAAATAGTGAGGGGTAGTGAGAGGAGTGATTCTAGGCTCCAGACCTGTGTCCTGGCAAGTCAGCTTGTGTCAGATGTGGCTGATTTGCAATTAGGGATAATATCTGAACCCAAGTTTGGGATATATGGTTCCACATCAAGACTAGACAAATGTCAGTTTTTGAAAGGCTTGTGCCTGTGGAATTAGCCAATAAAACTCATAGCAATTGAGTAATCATTGAAATGTCTTTCAATTATTATTAAATCTCCATCACTAATAAATGTTAACTATTTTTTAAAATTATTTTACAGTTTGTTCACTGTATTTTTATTGTCCAGCTGCACCTTAAACTATTGTTAACAGGGCCTTAGCATGAAAGCCCAGTTTTACCTTCCTGCAAGACTTCAGAGTGGCTGATAGGGTGAACTGGAGGAGGAATTCGTGCTTTTGTTAATGAATGTTCATATTATTTGTTCAGCTGATAAGAATAGTGAGTCTGGGGGATAAGCTGTGTGATACACTGCAAACCCAACCATCCTTCAGCAAATTGAAGTTCCAGAGTGAACATTTTAACTCAGAACTACTGTCTTTTGAAGGGACAATTGCCTAGCACATAATGGATCATTTCCTGTCATATTTCACAAACTTTGCAGCTATAACAGCATAGGTGGTTGAGGAGGATAGATGGCTTTTTCACTTTTGGGCCAGCGACTCAACTCTGTTCAGGCTGACTTGCCTTTTGGTAGCTAAAGAAAAAATTCTAGTGAGCAACTGCATCTGTGCCAAAGCCCATTCATAAAAGCTCATAACCACTGCTTATGAAGTTACTAAACGGCTTCTCATTTTACTTACTGGTCTTGACCTTTTGCCATGACAGAGCAAAGTGAAATGAGAACTATTTGGATTAACTGCTGGTCTCACAGGAATAATTATGTGCATAAAGTGAGAGCTAAAGATGTTTCACTCCTATGCTTCATTGCAGAATCAGAAGTAATTTTCAACATGACAAACTTGGTGTGCTTAATTGCACAGGGATGGTCCATCTCAATAACCTCCTGCCATTGTTTGTTCGTGTTTGGCCCAGAGGAATCAGAGGGGTGTATTTCTATCTCCTTTCGCATTCCTGTGATTACTCATTTCCATTTCCTGTAATTCCATTTTAATCAGTGTTTCCTGACGCATATTCCTTGCAAAAATATTACCCAGCATTTGTCCTCACTGGTATCTTTAGCTCTGTCCTCTAGTTATGGCATTATCTGCTTAAAAGACTTCACATCTTTCAGCTTTCCTGCGTGTTTGTCTGTGTTTGAAGGACCCCATTAAGTGAGTCTCTAAATGTGTTTTGTAAATTGTGTGGTGCTTTATCTTCCAGTCTCAAAATTGATAGGAAGACTTGAAGCTTTGACTTTTGTCTGGTTTCTTGATATTCTTGGGTTAGGCCGTCATGCCAAAGCAGGTGCAGCCATTTCACAGCTGGCCCAGCACAACCCTACCAGGCAGGCTAGTGTTTGTTCTCTAATTCAAATGCCCTGTACCACCTAGTCACACCTCTTATGGCTATCCAGTGTCTTTCAGGAACTTACTGTCATTCTCTGCCTTCTTTCCTTGTCTCTATACAGGTGCCCTTGTGTGAAGTTTTACTCCTTGCCTGCTGTTCATCTGTATATGGCTTTCTGACCTTTAACTTTCTCTGTTTATGCTGCCTCTTTCTATACTTTTTTACCGTGTCTGGTGTCTGCTTGTCCTGGCTACTCTTTAGCCGTCACATTCCTTTCAAATAAGCACCCATGTTTTCTTCCTAGAAATAAGGCCTATTCTTCTGTTGATCTTCCGACTCTTCCCTTCTAGTTCCTCGTCCTGCTTCCACTTGCATTCCTTTTTTTGCCTCAACTTGAGGCAAAAAGAACAGAATTTTTAAGGCAACGTAAAATAATACACTGGCTGTTTCATGCAGCTCATGCACTGCAGCAGACAGCAAAAGTAGCAGAGAGGGTCAAATCACATTCAGCAGAGATGTGCTTCTAAGGCTGCCCTTTCCAGAGCAAACCATCTTTTACAACAGACTCACAGATGATGTTTAATGTTGTAATTTCGAGAGTAGTCTGTTCTTAACAGAATAATGCAGGCTGGATTTTCAGTGCCCTGTTGCTTAATCAGCTTGTTGTGGGTGTGCTCATTAATGCAATTCTGTGTGTGTGTATTTGTATGCAGCTGTTTGCCAGTTGCCTTGCTTAAATGGTGGGAAGTGCATACGACCGAATCGGTGCTATTGTCCCTCATCGTGGACTGGACATGACTGCTCTAGGTAAGTGTTGCTGAGCGCTGTCCTGTAGCTAGGCTGAATCACACCCTACTGAACTCTAACTCTGAAGAATGTACAATTAATTTTGCACATCTTGAGCATCTCTAGATCCTATAAATCAGTGGTCATTGGATGGCTCATGATTTATGGGCCATCTGGAAAGGCCTTAGGGAGTACTCTGCAAAATGATTGCCAAACTTCTAGATAACTCAGGAGATGGTACATTTACATGTAAGCAGACAGGCAAACCTACAAGGTTTAGCCTTATTTTTAATGGTGTAAATGGAAATGTTTGTTGCGATGTAATACAGAATGTTCTTCAGGAAATTTGGGTGGCCTAATGTGTACAGGTATTCATTTTGAACTGTATATACCTCAGCTGGGTCCAGGTTCAAGACTAGGGTCATGTTACAAATGTTATAAATAATAGCTCTTCTTAGACCTAGTGTTGAGTGGTGTAAGCATTTAAAGAGTACAACACAGTGCCCCTGAGTCAAGTCCTGGTTCAAATCACCTGGCAGTGCAGTCTCTGTATCAAGAGCCTCAAGGACTGGGCTTAGATCTGGTTCATGTGTGCTCTCTTTTAGAGAGTTTTACCAGTGCTCGTGTTTTGGTTTGCTCATTCACATCTAATAGGGCCAATAGCGGACTAGGTTTTCAAATCAGTGAGCCCTGTCACCATGTGAGGCAGCATTTACAAGTCTTAATTGTAACTTAGAAAAAAGCTTAAAAAACTGTAAAAGTTTTTTTAAGTTAACTTGTGAAGTTTGGGTGTTTGGCTTCGAGGGCAGTCTGAATAGGACTCAGTTTTTCTTTGGAAAGCTGTTTTATTTCATGCTGCCATTAAGAGCCATTTACAACCCTGAAGAGGGAAGGCAGGTGGAATGGTAATGCTGTTGTTATGGTCAGGAAACAGACATAATAACAAAACATGCAGCATGAGTTCTCCTGCTTCCTGCATGGAATATTAATGAGGGCCATGAAAGACATGCTAGCAAAGATTTATACCTCAACTCATGCAGGCTCCTACTGAACACATTGATCATTATCCTGGAGAGCTAAATAAATAACAGCTGAATATTAGTATTTTTCTGTGGGATACGGACAAAGCCTGTGACATTGTACATTTTTTCTATTTTTCTTTCCGGACAGGTAGTGACAGACATTCCTCCCTGTCTCTCTGATATACTGTTTATCTTAAAGCTACAGAAAAGATGTTTGTTTGAGAAATTACATTGTCCAAAATGAATAGTTTTCATCAGCTGTGATTATATATGCCTAAGTGAAGCAACATAGATGTTCTGCCAACAAACAGTGTCCAGCTTTAGACTGAAAGCTACACATCTAAAGTCTGATAGTATTTCCATGTAGGACATGAAGCAGAGAAGCCCAAATCCAGTGGATTTAGCAGTCAAAAACTATGGGGTTTATCATAGAATCATAGAATCGTTGAGGTTGGAAAAGACCCTTAAGATCATCGAGTCCAACTGTTAACCTATCACTGCCAAGTCCACCACTAAACCATGTCCTCGAGCACCACCTCTACCCATCTTTTAAATACCTCCAGGGATGGAGACTTAACCGCTTCCCTGGGCAGCCTGTTCCAGTGCCTGACTGCCCTTTCGGTGAAGAAGTTTTTCCTAATATCCAACCTAAACTTCCCCTGGCGCAGTTTGAGGCCATTTTCTCCTGTCCTATCGCTTGTTACTAGGGAGAAGAGACCGACCCTAGGGAGAAGAGACCGACCCCCGCCTCGCTACAGCCTCCTTTCAGGTAGTTGTAGAGAGCGATAAGGTCTCCCCTCAGCCTCCTCTTCTCCAGACTAAACAACCCCAGAATCTCTGAGGCAAAGCAAAGTTCCAGGCTATTACCAAATTGGACTCTTCTTGGGTTTGGGTTTTTTTTTTTCGCAAGTCCACAGCTCTGTGCAGCATTGTGACATCTGAGAAAAGGCAGATCATTAGCCCGACAGGCCTGCCAGTCTAGAAGCTCATCGTCCCTTCAAGGGCTGTTTGAGAGGAAGTTTCGACTCAGAACTTGGGGGGGTGGAGGGGAGGGGAGAGAAACAAGCACTGAGATCCGTTCTGTATTTTGTTAAGCTTTGGCCTCAGCCACTGGTGGCTCCTTACGGGGTAGGATACTGTTCTGAGTACTCAAAACCAATACAGGCAGAACAGGAGTAAATGCCATGATAGCAAAGATCCGCTGTTGCAGGTTAACTAGGTGTGATTTATAAGGGGAAGCTGAAAGAGCCACAAGCTTTTATCAGCATCCAGGACAAGATTAGCTCCAAACCACTCTATGTTGATTCATGACTTACATTAAATGCCAGATATCTCTATTCCCCACGCCCACCCTCTTCCCCTCTCAATATGCCATCTTGAGCTGTGGCACTCTAATCCCTGGTATACTTTCAGACACCATCATCTTGTGCCTCACTCTTGATCTTGTTTGGTATGTTCAGTACAGCACTGATTTTATTTTGTTTGGTTTTTTTGATGCAGGAAACGGAAGGCTGGATTCTATCCCTTTTAACATCAAAGCAGCAGTTCTACATTCAGACATCTTTCTTCAGCCTAGGCACCAGGGCTTGGAATCTAATGCATCGTAAATCAAATCCATTGCTTCCCTTCCCCCCCAGCTCCCTTATTTTGTGTTTTATTTTGTGATACATTTTTACTATACCTTTCAATTTTTAAAGAAATCCTCTGTATTTTTCATTTACAAAAGTATTATCAAATATATGCTGCTACAAACACACCATACACACATACACATACAAATGTAAAGATTCTTACTGTCCACTGAGAAAGTGGTTGTGGACAGTGAAGTCCCTCCCATTTCTTACATACAGTAAGCTAATTAAACCATACTATACTGTCAACCGTGATTAAACAGAATGTGGCAATTCTGCTTACCATCTGCCAAAGCATACTGCTGTCCAGCAACTCAACAGTAAAGAATAGTTACGCAAGGCTAACTCAGCCACTAAACTTTACATTGGGCCTGTTTCTGAACTCATGTTGATGTAAATTAGAAGTACATGTGATAAAGTCCATGTTGTAACCACAGATTCTGTAATCTATATTATGTGACATTAACATCATTGGAGAGTGACTTAATGGAAGGCATGGGCATGAATTTTACCTGAGATTTATTGGTAAAATAGTCAAAAATGTAAAAGATATGAGAGAACATCATGTCATTCAGAGAAGGACGGACCAAGTCTAGCCGGCAAGAGCCTTTGAGGCTTTTTGGCTTAGGAGCAGTTCGGGTGTAGCTCTAAAGCTGGATAATCCAGGATCCAGCAGTGGGAAGCAGGAGGACCACTGAAACTTGTACTTCCCGCTTGCCATGGGACTCACCACTTGCCTGTTACCACCATCCCTTTCCTGTGTAAATTACGAAATACATGTCAAGCAGCTGTCTGCTAGGTGAATGTTTTTGAAACGTGGGGGTGGGATCCCAAAGTTTGCCTGCCCCTAGCATGGAGGGAGAAGGCACCAGTTATGTTTACAGGTGAAACTTTGCTATTTGCTTACAGAAAGGTTGTACCTATGTTATGCAGAACCCTCAGAGAACTAGAACAGGCCTCTCTTGAGTACGCACACAGGCAGAAATGCTCAGCTGAGTGAGAATGAGAGCACACCTGCTGTCAGATTTCTCTTTCTCACACTGTTGATCCCATTGCGTCTGAGGATAACACACACCTGAATGCCATTGTTAAGTCATGCTCTAATGAACTGAGATGCTAAGATGTACTTATGGTTAAGCAGGGTGGTGGAATTACAAGATGGAAATCACATGCATTTTTTGAGGTCAAATGTTTTGTAACTATTGTCATTTAGCAAAAAGTCTGGTTTATGAAAGAAGACGTTAGAGTGAAGAACCTGAGAGTCATTGATCAGAAGCTCCTTTTTTCCCCAGTAATAACAGAAAATTGTGACTTGCAGTCAGCACTGGGAAAGACAAAGGAGAAATAAATTTTACCTTCTAAAAAAGCTCAGCTACCCTCTGGATTAAGAGTGTGCACAACCTGCCCCACCCCTCCCTCCTTTATAGATTTACCTTTTATGAATGCATGAACTTGGACCCAGGAAAGTGATATGACACCAAAATGAGCTCACAGTTACAGTAATAGGGCACTAGTAAATACTGACACATAACTGATGGCTGTTAGCCCAAGACCGGAAATGGAGAAGAAAGAAACAAGTGAAGTTGTGACCCAATAAGAGCTTTCAGCCAATTAAAAGAAAAACAGGTAAAGAATAGGAGTCATTAGGGGATCAGATTAATGTGAATGTAGATTCCTTCCCAGTGGGAGCTGCAACCAGCTGAAGACTTGTCGTTTCAGCTCCCACAACCTTCTTTTTCTAATGGACTCTGCTAGCACATAGCAACAATCTTCTGTCTCCCAGCTCCACAGCCATTGATGTTTACAGCTTTGACGGAAGTTAGTGTTCAGTGAATAACGTCTGCATTTCAAACCATAGTCACCACCGTGTGTAGGCACTTTGTTCCTTGACCTCCTTGCTGCCTTAACAGCATGTGAATGGAAGCTGCAGTGGGCAACACAGGACTTCTCAAGGGAAA